ACTTGAGGACAACGTCCAGTTGCATGCTCAGGACTTGCCTCCTCGTTCCGTGTTTGACTGTGGAAGAGATGCAACTGGAGGAAGGCTCCGCTACCAAGCAGGCGCGTGGCCTCAGGGCCGGGGTGTGGACTTCTTACCAAGCCACCTTGCCATCGATCCAAGCGCACGGCCCCCACGCTCTTCCAGCCAGTGAGCGATTGGACTTGCTCGGCGAGGATGCGGACCTCGGCCTCATGTCGCGACTTTTCTATCCGGATCCCCACTTCCTCTCCTGGGTCGAGCTTTTCCTGGACAGCCGATCGACGGAGGGGCCCAGAAGCGGCACATCCTCTTTTTGGGATCGTCGTCCGGCCCGACAGCCGCTTAGTTTCACTTGAATTTATTGCATGGGACGCGCCGCATGACGGCTCTGAAGTCCTGCGAAGAAGATACACTTGTAATATAGAATATGTCTATGTGCGTGTGTGTATATATATATATATATGTATGTCTGTATGGTGTGTAATTGTTTGATATGCGCGTACGTATATAGATAGGTTTTGGGTGTAATCGGTTGAGGGCGTAGGGCATAGGGTCTAGGATTCAGGGCCTTATCTTGTTGACTGGCGGTTTGATGTGTGGGAGGCCTGGTAGGCTTTAGGTTCTTGGGGTGTTAGAGCTTGATGATGTATCCCGCTGTAGATTGGCAGTTCTCTAAATTAGGGACCGGGTTAGGTCCCCCCCAAAAAGCACGGTACCCCAATACAAAGACCTAAACGGGACCCTAATCGGAGAACTACCCATATGGACCCACGGCTGGGCAAAGAAACGGCTCTGAGAGATCTGCACCAACGTTCCCCCCCAATATTGGAAATCCATTGTGATGGTGCAGGCTAGCTGGTACGAGTATAGTAGTCGTAACAACAGGTAGTGCTGTCACTACCCGGAATGGCACTCAGTAGTTGTACTAGTGCCTAAGGTAACAATACCACAAAATCCGAACCTTAGCAAAAGTTATTCATCTTCAATCCTTGTAATCTTACCTTGATCAGTAACAGCTCAGCACAGACATAGCCTCGGAGAGGATCATATGCTGAAGCGTGACGAGACTGAAAGTCATAGGCAGTGACAAGTAGTGGTTAGGGGTTGGGGTGTAGTGTAGGGGTTAGGTTTCAGGTTTACAGCTCCTTTTCTTGGGGCGGTGCCTGAGTCTGGCTATATACAAGAAAGTTGGAAACAATGGGTGTTCCTTGAACCATCACCACGTCCTGGAAAAACGGCCCTCGACTACAAGGGTAGTCGGAAGCCTTCTTGAACATCAAGTCTGAAGCCCCCAACTCAATACGGATACACTCTGCATAACCCTGCGACATAAGTCATGATCGATTGGTATAGGGCTTCTACTTGTTATTGTTATTGTTGTTCGTATGGAGTATGACAGTAATCGTATTCGTTTAAAAAACAACTACGACAGCGACGACGACTACTACTATCATTATTCCTGAGACTGTCTATACCCGTGTGAGATCGTCAGGTCAAGGGAGAACTAAATTAAATCGCATGATTACAACTTCTTAATAATTTTAACGCGGTTTTAGGTAATATACTTTAGCTACAATAAGGAAGCTTCTACATTAGGGGACGTCCCAGTGCTAGCCGAAGCACAACAAGAATGGAGAGGGAGTGTCCTCGCCATTCTGATCGGTGGTGGTGCCCTCCGACCCTGGGCATCGTGATGGTCTATGGTGGGGTCTTAGGGCCTATTGGCCTGTTGCGGCTGGTTCAAGTTCAACTTTAGGATGGATTGGCTTAGGCTTGGGACCTAAGCCCAAAAACGAGGCTCCAAAACTAAACCCTAACCCCTAAACCCCTAAACCCTAAACCAAACCCCAAAAACCCACCCTGCCGAAAAGCAACAAACCCGAAACAGCTCTGGATGAGACATCGACACGAGAGCTTCAGAAACCAAGGGACCCGAATGTACTAGATCGACGAAGCTAGCAGCTAGGACCCGAAACCAGGTATCCCCAATTCTTAAAAGGCGTCCAACCACAGTTACAAAACCGCGGCCACAAACGAGCAACAATAGATTCATCACATCCTTGACACCTTGATACAGCTTCCGAACAATACAATATAAACCATGTAAAGTTTAGAAACATCATGAACCGAAAAAGCTCTAGATGAAAGGCAGCTCCGCGACCGTGCAGCAGCATATTAGAGCCGAACTTCTGCACGACATCGCAGCCCATGTCTGCGAGTTCCGGGCGTAGGCTTTAGATTGCGGGTTTAGGGTTTAGGGTTTGGTTCTGGTTGTGTTGCTGTTTTTATTTGTTAAATCGTCAGGCTGTCCTGTGCGTCCACAGTAAGCTATTCTTGAAATGGTTATACCCTGTGTCCCGCGGCTCAGGGTGTAGTGAACACAAAATCGGGGCCTAAATTTTCGAACACGGTATATTGTACCACAGTTCGATAACGGAACCCCAAGGAATAAATAGCGTTGGCCAACAATAGGACTCCCAAATCATGTGCAGCCTTCGCTATGCTGGAGTTCGCTGTGAAAAACTTTTAGTACCGTTGCCCCGACTCACAACTACCCAAGGCCGTTCAGGTAGCGAGGTGCAATTGGGAATTAGGGTTGGGAGCTTAAGCTATGTGGAGACTTCGCGCTGCCTGTGCCACAGCGTTTCAAAGGGAATAGAACGTACCATACTCAAGGCAACTTGTTACTCAAAGTCCAATACGGTTGCCACCATCAGCAATACTGAGACCTACGTCGGCATGGTCGCCAGTAAACAATGTAATACCGTTTACTTTACCATGCAAAATCCTGAACAACTACCAGGGGCCCTCCGCCATAAACTCACCAGCACGACCCTGAAGCAAAAACTTTGTCAAAATTATGGTCCCTTTTTGGGTACCCTAAATATTAGGTGCCGTATTATCATAAGGACTCAAACCATTCATATAACAGGTCTCCTCAAAAGCACCTAGCGTAAGCTTGGGAAGATGGCATCCATTTCAGGAGCTGGTTAAAACAATTACAAGCAACGCAGGCCAAAACCCTAAAGGCAACCCAAAAAGCCTTCTTGGATGTCCGTCTGCTCTTCCTGGAGGAATGCCGGGATTCTCGATGGCGTGGTTTCAAACTCCGCGGGCGTCGTCGGATTCGGTGTGGAGCACCTTGCTGAGGGGGTCCCATCAGGTTATGTACGGATGAAGGGCTCATTGCGTCCGGGGTTTAGGGTCGAAGATTGAGGGTTTAAGGTCTTCGTTTTGTAACACTGACAGTGTATACCTATAGCCCCGGGGACACAGTTTAGGGCAATGGATCAACAGTGATGGCTGCTGGCACTGTCTGACCTCTCGGCGGTCTCTTGGGTTGTCTACCCTGAGGCTCAAAACCTTTTAAAATGGCTGTTGGGCCCGAAAGCCTTAATTAATGAGTCCTTTATCTTGAGGGTGTTTAGATTTTCGATCTATATCAGACCTTATGTCATAGTACGTACATATACATATACATATACGCCTACGCCTACATATTCTTTTCCAGCGTATTATACTCTATGTGTGTATGTATGTCCATGTATGTATATATATATATATATATATATATACATATATATATATATATATATATACATACATACATACATATGGGTAAAGTGCATCTCGGGCACTGAGCCCCCATGGCGAGGCTTGGCTCCCGTGAACCAGACGGGCAAGAGTTCAACTAAAAAAGCTTGAAACGCAGGCGGCAGCAGTACGGTTTAGGGGTTCAGGGTACAGGGTTTAGGGGTTTAAAGGGTTTAGGGTTCAGGGTTTAGGGGTTGAGGGTTCAGCGTTTAGGGAAAAACTACCCCCAAAGGGTCCAAGTATCATTAAAGCAGGCTCTCAGTAGTTGCTTTGGCCCCCAAGTAGATGGGAGCTTGCGAAAATAGTGGACCCTAATAATAGTACCCTAAATAGTAGCATCCTAATTATAAAGAACCGCAAATAAGATACCCCTAATTTTCGGACATTCCCATATACTATACTGGTACTTGGACCCTTTGGGATCCTGACACCCCTAAAACCCAGCTTAACAAAACACTACTTAGAGGCTCATGGGACTTATTAGTAAGTAGGTTATAACTGGGGTTATAAGTCTCCTAAGTGGGGTTATCCTAATTAGAAGCTACTTATAACCTTACTTACTAAGTCCCATGAGCCTTCAAGTATGGAGCACCAGAACAAATGTGGTGTCGCCCCCCCGAACCTTGTGACCCGATAAAACACAGACACGACAGAAGCGGAGGGGCTGGAATGTGGGTTCTGTTGGTTCGTGGCCTTCCTGCCGCAATTTTGTAATGCCGCGATTCCGCGCAATCAAGGGGCAGCGATATTTGGAAAAGGGTCTGCTGTGTTACGTCGTTTGGTTAGATTACGAACTTTTCCAAAATAACTTTACGGTGATACTCAGTCATTATATGTTACGAATCGTACGACCTCAAAATTAGCACCAGACCCTAAAACATAGTAGGTTCTGATGCCAGAATTCTAGGATGAAGCCTCTAACACCCTTTGGTTGAAAAATTAAGACAATATATCTTAAATCGCAATGTTGGGGGTGGGGGGGGGGGGGCGGGGCGGGGGCAGAATCTCAGGTGCAATACCGAACTAAGGCCTATATATGTTTATTTCTTATTGTTAGCGTGTTATTTCTTTATTTGTTTGGAGGTTTTACAGGGACTTAATAACTTCCTGCATATTCAAGACTTCGAAGCTTCTTTTTCCTTGAGGTTCTGAGCCCTGAGCCCTGCCTTCTCCGAGGAAAGCCAAACACTCAGAGCCTCCAAAACCCCTAAATTACGGAATATACCTTATAAATTATATTAGGGATCCTATTTTGGATTTAAGGTATATTCCTTAATTAAGGAATATACCTTAAATTATATCTGGGATCCTATTATGATTTAAGGTATATTCCTTCATCGAGGGGTTTTTGGAGACTCTGGGCACATCCAGGCTGAGGAGGACACCCCTCCGAAGCGCCGATAATGCCTGCGGGCGGCTAAAAAAGGGCTTAGGGTTACTTAGAGGATCCTTAAAGGGTTTAGGGTTTAGGGATCCATAAGATAAGGGTTCTACGAGGGGTAGTTTAGGTTACTTAGAGGATCATGGGACTTAGTAAGTAGGTTACAATTGGGGTTATAAGTCCCCTAACTGGGGTTACCCTATAATTATAACCTACTTATAACCTTACTTACTAAGTCCCATGAGCCTTCAAGTAGGGTTGCATGGCTGAGACAAGTCCTGGCTCTAACCGGTTCGGTTATGATCTGAGTTGAACCATCTATACTGAACTTGGACCCCTAGCAAAAATTGTGTTAATTTAGCTGTTTCTTAGGGATTAAAGGAACCAACAAATAAAAATCACTTGTACGTACCCCTAATGAGTCATATCTGCTTCATCGAGAACGTAAGTCAGCAGCCTGCTGCAGGTGCACTTTACGAATCCAGTTTACTGATTCTGCCCTGCTTCTAGGTTCCTGCGTAGCCCCTTTATAATAAGGGTACCCTTTCCTTCACTACCCGGCCTTAATAAAGGGATCCAAAACAAAAAGGGCAAAAGGATACTACTCAGGAGCCTAGTAACCGTCTACTCTCCCGAGTACTAAGTACTGCCCTCAACCCAGGTACCTAAGTACTCTATACTGAACTTAGAACCCTAGCAAAAATCATAATTTCAGCTGTCTCTTAGGGATTATAAAAACCAAAAAATAAAGAATATTTCTCTAAGTACCCCTAAGAGTATGGGGTCCTTTGGACCCCGAAAGAAACGGCCCTGTAGCTTGGATTCCCCTTTTGCGCCCACCTGTCCCATGGGAGTCCAGCTGTTGGAAAGTCTCGTGATACTGCGCCATCTCCTGCTTAGAGCCAGTCTTTATCTGGGATTAGAAGATTGATATGTGCAAAACATGTTTTTGAAGTCGATATTTCTATGTACTGTTGGTTTCTGAATTCAATAATCTTGGCTTCTTAATTATGTTGGCACCGTAGGGTCTCTATGAAGGCTTGTAAAGCATGGTCTCATGCGGGTGGTTCCTTGAATGGGGTTTAGGGTTGAGGGTTTTCTTGTGGTTTAGGGTTTCGAGTTTAGGCTTTAGGGTGGAGCTGTATGTGGCTGCAACTACGTATGCGTAGCTTCTGTACTTACAAGCGTACTTTCTTAGTCAACCGATCCTGTAGGTACAGCTTCTACATACTCATTCAAGCAAAGCCCACTTGAAGGCTCATGGGACTTAGTAAGTAAGGTTATAAGTAGGTTATAATTAGGATAACCCCACTTAGGGGACTTATAACTCCAATTATAACCTACGTACTGAGTCCCATGATCCTCTAAGCACAAAGCAAGGGGCACAAGCTCCTGCGAGTATTGCCTTGCTTTGTGGCTGATGAAGTCTGCATCTAAAGCCGGTTGACTGAACTTTGCCCCTTGTCGAACCTGCGCCGGACGAGTTCTCACAGCTTAGAACCAGCATCCGCAAGATATCAGCGGAACCGTTGGAGAAATCAATGCGAAAGTCGCAAGACGAACAGCTTAGCAAAAAGAGTAGGGATCACATGAGAATAACGAGACAGCTGCACCCAGCACGTGCATGAAAACAGTAGCGCTGAAGCAACGATGTCGTACGTAGTCCTACTCGTAGCATTGCTTCATATTACAGCTGCAGCAGGTCTCCTCTGGCTTCGCAGCCCACGAGAACTCCGCGCCCACAAGCGCCTTTGACTCAGTGAGTCAGTCGGCCGTGCGACTCTCAAATTTAGGCTATCCCTAAACCCCAAACCCCTACACCCTAAACCCCTAAACTCTAAACTCTAAACCCGTAGTGCAGTCGTTGCGGTTTATTCCCGATAAAGGGAGCGTTTCCGAACCAGTGTCTTTCCATGGGATCTGATGCCATGTCTCACAGGAGAGAACATGAAAAGTGCGCATGTGTGCCTATGCTGCTGTTGATGCTTACACGTGGGCTGACCTGAACCTAGACCTCTACCCTCAACGGGATTGTACCTCGTTTGGAAGAGGAAGCAAGTCTGCCAACACAATACCCTAAACCCTAAACCCTAAACCCTAAACCCTAAACCCTAAACCCTAAACCCTAAACCCTAAACCCTAAACCGCAAACACTGAAAACAGAGGCAAGTGCAAGAAGACCGGGGGTTTGGAGTGGTGCACTCTAGATGCATTCCCGAAGCCATTACTGTATGGCGGGCTTTTCCGAAAATAGGGGACCTTCATGTAGTTCCCCAAATAGTGGGATCCATTTTCTAAGGACCCCCCAAATAAGGTACCCCAAAGTTTCGGAGACTCTAAACCCTTATAGGACCCGTTGAAGGAACCCTTGTAGCACCCTCATAGTAGCCCTTTAAGGAACCCTAAGGCCCAAAGGTACTCCCATATTTCAGGGGTCGGAGGCATCTTCAGCTCCAGCGGAACGCAAGCGGCGGGAGGCCGCAGGTCCCAACAGCAAAGCCGAAGCTATGTGGGTGGCTTTCAAAATTATGGCACCATTTTTGGGTACCTTAAATATTAGGTGCCGTATTATATTAAGGACCCAAAAAGGGACCATAATTTTGACAACTACCTGCTACCTATGTACATAACTAGAACAGGGCTCCTCTAAAGGCTTCTTAAAGAGGGGTCCTCAGGGGCATTATGGGGGTTTAATATAGGAGCCTTCACAGTCAGAATAGGGTTCCTTTAAATGGGTCTAGAAATGGGTTACTGCAAGGAATCTACAAGCGTGCTATGATATAGGGGCCTTAACAATTGGGCATATTATATTCTATCTATAATAAGGACCCCCCCCCCCACAAAAAAAAAAAAAAAAAGTATAGGTAAAGAACTCGGGCCCTTATAGTATCCCTGAACCCCCAACCCCAACCCTGAAGCCCTAGACCCGTAAAACCTTCGACCCCCCGAACTGACAGGCTCCGACATCCTTTAACTACCAGGACCCTCCTTGTACCCTCAAAATAGGGGTGTATGGTCCCAAATAGTGGGCATTTAGGGTCTAATAGAGGGTAGATGGAGGGTCTAACTAGTTGATAGTCTGAGACCTTACTTCAGTTACACTTCGTTCGGAACTTTGGTCTGCGTGATAAGCTTTTAGACCCGAACCTCTAAGCCGTTTCAGCCTGCAGGAAGCCCTACCCATGAAGCTCGTACAGGACCCTTGAGCTTTCATACGGTTGATGATATAAATCCTGCATGACCCATAATAAGGAATATACCATAATTCCCAGAGTTTAGAGTCCTTAGGGTCATGCAGGATTTTGTCCATCAACAGTAGAACCCTTGCAAAGCATTTGTACAACCCGTGTGCAACTCGTATAGAACAATGGCGAAGCACCTTTGAAGGGAACTCATAATGGAACATCGAAGGAATCCACCATACTGAACTTAGACCCTTACCTGAAATTTCAATTTTAGCTGTATCTTAAGGATAATAGGAACCCAAGAATGAACGCTATTTCAATATATCCCTGAGCGCGCATTATGGTCACACATGCTCACTGCCTGGAGCTCTGGCGGTAGCTGCTGCGGTAAGGGGATGGCCTGCAGGCTGGAGCCAACCCTCAACCGTTAATGGACAGATAGGGGGCCTGAATAGGTAGAATAGGTTTTTTTTAAAAAAGAATGCAGTTAATAGGGGTTTAGGGTCTAGGGTTCAGGGTTTAGGGCTTTTGGGCCCCTGCATTTGGCCTTAAACCAAAGTCCAAGGCAAAGGGCTACTAACACTATGATAACCCTAAGGGTCCAAGTACCTAATAATCATATACTCTCCTAAATATTCAGCTACATAACTACTATCCTAAACCCAAGTACCTAATTATTGGGTCCTTTGGATCCTTAGGGTAAGGGTTCTGTAGCTACAAAGTACTACAAAGGTTCGATGGAGTTCTCGCGGCTAACCCAGAGACTCCAAGACCCCTTAATTAGGGAATATTCCTTAAATCATATTAAGGATCCTACTATAATTTAAGGTATATTCCTTCATTAAGGGATATTGGAGTCTCTGGGTAAGGGCTTGCAGCTTAAAGCTTGGGGTTCAGGAGTTCACGGCTGGGAGGAGTGTAGGTGGTTTTCACATCAAACCAAACGAGCAGAAACCGCAGCCGCCCAGGACATCCTCATGGTCTGCTTAGAGGATCATGGGACTTAGTAAGTAGGTCATAATTGCGGTTATAAGTCCCCTAACTGGGGTTACCCTAATTATAACCTACTTACAACCTTACTTACTAAGTCCCATGAGCCTTCAAGTGATCCATGGTACCCTAACACCCAAGTCCCTAAACTCTCAACCCGGTGTATAGTCTTCGTGTTGGGAAACGACCATCGAAATCGTAGAGGAAACAATGACTATATTGTATTGACTATATGTAAATATGTCGTCCGCAACGACATGGTAAACATGGCTTACCCAAAAAATAACCATACCATACCCATACCACACCAGACTCTACCATACCATACCATACCACACCGTAGAATACCGTACCGTACCGTACCATACTGTAACATACCATACCATACACACACACACCGTATGTACTGTCCTGCAAATATGGCGGTGTGAGATGCCACATTGCACTCTAGACTACCACTGCGACTGGCTATAAATAACTAGCTAAAGTCCTCTGTGAAGACAGCGTCATCAATCAAGCAGGCTGGAAGCGAGCCCTATTTTTGTTGGTGGTAGCTCCAGGCAATTAGGCGTAAAAGAAGACTGCAACTGGTTAAAAGTAGAGTTAGCTGCAGCCACCTGGCCGTATGATCCTTCCGGAGCCTTTTCTCCCGCCGTTGACTTGCGCAACAAGGCAGCACGGAGTCTATCGCGAACATCTGGTCATCAGCTAGAAGTCGAGTCCCCCGCAACTTTCACCAAGGAGACCCATACGCTCTACATCATCTTTTGCCGACACACTTATCACATCAGGTTGGACAGATGATTCCACAAAATAGCTTACTACAGAGACCCAAGTATCTTGTAAACCTCACACCCAATCTTATGAAACTTGCTAGCCCTATGCCTTAATCACGCTGTAGCTGCATGCAGCGGTGAAACCTGTTCATCTCATTCACTGCACTGCCAGTATTATGGCGGCTGCAGCCAAGTTTGAGGAAATGCGTGGAGTTCTATCTTGAGATTCGAAGTGCTTTCTGTACCAAAACTCTGGCGATGCCCATGTGCCTGAAGCTGTCGACTCAAATTACCCTAGACCATCTTAGACCTCAGCCCTAAATATCCGACTGAAACTCTAAACTTGCATCCCGAAACACTGCTAGATTTGAGGTTTCAGCCACCTCAACATACGAACGGAAGAGGTTCTTCGTTGTCGGTTGATGGTTTCGGTAGTCTTCCCTATCAAACCTCCACGATGGCTGCAGCTGCACGAAAGTGTCGCTGACAGCACATGCCACTCCTGTGTCGGTCGGATGTTGAGTTTTAGTGCCAAGCTTAGTGCCGAGAAGAACGCAGTAAGATGCGAACGCTTGCGAAAAGGAAAACATACACATACACATGACAACGACGGTGCAGCGCTACTTGACGCCTGTTACTGCTGTCATACCGGAGAGAGCTCCAGAGTACTGTCACGCCGAAGGTCATCAAAGGCTACCAGACTGTCAGACTCCTTCTTAGAGGATCATGGGACTTAGTAAGTAGGTTATAACTGGGGTTACAAGTCCCCTAAGTGGGGTTATCCTAATTATAGCCTACTTATAACCTTACTTACTAAGCCCCTTGCAGCACCCAGACGTTCTACCTGATGCTCTTCGAAACCTGAAGAGAAACCTCTGCAGCCCCAGCTGCCCAGAGTCTTACCCCCAAAACTTTAAAAACATGGCGGCCACCGTGCACCCAACACCGTAAACCTTCAACTTGCCACCAAAACCTCTAAACGATAGTCAACCGTTGGGTACGGCCCCCACTCAGTAATAGTTGAATAATATTCATAATATAGATATAGCAGGACCTGAAAAGTAGCCCTATTATAGACTCTTACTTGTATGGGGCCCGTACCTAAATAGTCAACCGCACCAAAAACCTTCCACAACAAACTTGACCCAAATCTGAGGAAGGGCATGTGTCGATGCCTCGTGGGTTTTTCCCAAGGCTACCGGAGAGCTGGAAAACATAACAATCTTTCCGTCACCTTGAACCTCGAACACTGCTTAAGGTATAATGTGTGGTTCAAGACTTAGGGTTCGAAAAATTGCGTATTGCTTGGGGCTTTCTGGGTTTAAGGGGTAAGTGTTCATGATGTCCGCTGATTTTGATCACCATCATCCTAAACCCCAAATCCTAAACCCTAAACTCCTAAACCCTAAACTCCTAAACCCTAAATCCTAAACCCTAACCTCCTAAACCCTAAATTCCTAAACGCTTAACTGCAAGGATGGCATCCTTCCAAAGCCGGTGACTCTGACCCCAGGCTTCCTCCCAAGACTGGTCCTGTTTTTGATTCCTCATGAGTGCCTACTTAGTAGAGGATCATGGGACTTAGTAAGTAGGTTATAGTTGGGGTTATAAGTCCCCTAAGTGGGGTTCTCCTAATTATAACCTACTTATAACCTGACTTGCTGAGTGCCATGAGCCTTCAAGTACAGCATTACTCGAACGAGGTAACCAGGCCAAGTGTATATAAACCACTCCGAGTCCGCGAATAGTTCAACACAAGCCAGTCAATCTTGGTAAAGGGTCAGTGTAACCCCTAAAACCTTCTGGAAGTTCAAAATTGTTTCCTTTCCAGACAGCAATGACCAAACCGTGGCGTATGAAGGAGCATTTGGATGACCTAGTTCGATGGTTCAGCGGAGAGATAGCAACTTATGCTCTTGGTACGAGTATATACCTAGTAGCGAAGTGTCCGCCCAGGCTATGTGCCGTCACAACCACATGCTGGGAGTCGAGAGTTTGCGGCGTAGGAGTTTGGTTCCTGGCCTGATGAACAAATCCCCCCAAACTGCTTTGGTCATGACAATACGGTTGATGATATAAATCTTGCATTGCCCATAGTAAGGAATATACCATAATTCCCATGGTTTAGGGTCCTTAAGGTAATGCAGGATTTATATCATCAACCGTATGTCTCACAACCAGCGACCTTCCTCATGCACTGCCATTCTTTCGCTCAGCAGGTTCCACAGGTTTAGAATCTGACGGAAGCTTAGTTCAGCTTTTAAGCTCACGGTTCACACCTGCAGCGTCGACAGCGGTAGCGGTCGTTCCACCAGTGTCCAGAGAGCGGAGAAGGCCAGTCCTTGCGATCCTACTTCTCAAGCGCCCTTCGAACCACGTTTAAGAATCCCGTGAGTTTTATTGTACACAATTGTAAAAAAAACGCTTCCTAGGAGCACTAAGGAACTAAGGCCTAGCTACATCCAAAGGGTCTAGAGTTTAGTTTGTTGAAAGTCACAACCTCACGTTTCAGGCGGGCTGCAAGAGTTGTAGGTTCGCAAGAGTTTGAGGACGGCAGAGTTTTAGGGTTTTCTTTGCGTAGGCGTTGTACGAGCTTGTAGAAGGGATTCCGTGAATGTACCGAGAAAAGGCAGCATACCCCAAACCCTCGAAGACTGTGACTTAGGGATGTTTTGACAGCCGGATCTGGGCTGAAAGGTGACAAGGTGGGCTTCGTAGGGCATGCGGCACAGGTGGTCTTCAAGACCCTAGACAAACCCGAAAACTCATAACCCGAACTAAAACCAAAAAACGAACTAAAAACACACAACACATCCAAAATCCCAACCCCCCCCCTGCGGCTATATCGGGCTCGTAGGCTTAAAGTCTGTTTGTGGGTATTTGAGTTCCCTACAAGGTGGTAGGGGCCTTGAGGTTTGCAGTTCTTAATAAGAAGGGTTATAATTAAGGTAACTGTACTTCTAATTACTTATAACCCCAATTAAGGTACTTATAACCTACTTACTAAGTCCCATGATCCTCCAAGTAGTGTATATGATGGGTTTGGGGTTCCGGTTCCGGGTGCTAAAGAGTTCACCATAAGCGACTGGGGCCGACACCGAACAGGATTTGGAGTTTAGGGGAGGCTAGGCGGTCCTCGACTGTTGACAGAGGTCTTGTAGCGGCAAAAGTCTCTGAGAGATCCCTGAACTCTAAACCCCTAAACCCTAAACTTCTAAAACCTAGACCTCAACCCCTACACCCTCCGCCCTAAACGCAACAAAGGAAGGGCCAGACTTCAGGACTCTCTCCGCCTCCCCTAATGAAGGGACAAACTTCCGCGGAAAATGAGTTCCCCTGGCCCAAAACCCAAAGCTGCCAAAAACTCATACAAACGCGGAAGACAACCTGTTAAACCTGGGCATCACCGAGAATCTCTGAACCCGAAATTCCCTACGATCGCGAAACTTAGATCCCTAAACCCAATCAGCAACGCTAGACCCAAGAGTAACTTAGGAATAAAAAGGGTGCCCTTTTTGGTTTAGAGGGCTTATAAGGGAACCTGAACCCTACAAAAAGGGAATAAGGGCTTACTGTGGGTCCTAGAACATCTTCTCTCCTCAACCCTCACCAACAGCTCCCCAAGATGCACCTC